ATTTTAGTTTTTATGTCTTTTTATTATTTTAAAAATATATAAAATATTAATTAAATTAAATATTAAATATATAATATATATTTTCTATATTTTTAGGGTATTAAAGGACTAAAAAAACCAAATGCTGCAGCTACAAATCAGCGTGTTATCAAACTAAGCTGAAGAGAGCTTACAGGAATTTACATCATGTAATGTATTTTGTTATGGGGATTGGATATCCAGTGTGCCAAACCGAGATTTTAAATAAGATGTTATCCGATCCCAAACTGAGAACCTCAAACCAAAGAATCGCACTCTAACTGATTTTTTTGAACCTTCTCTCATGAATTCCAAATCCTTGTTAATGCTATTCTGTATACTTTCAGTATCATCAAGCAGGGGTAATGAAACCGAACCTTGGGATTCCAGGCTTTTGATCCACCCACGAAGTAAATAATTCACAACCTGTACAAATAATCAATGGGAAATTGTAATCGTTACACCAAAATCCCACATGAAGTTGTTATACCCTCCATCCCCTTCTTATCATAAAAAAAACATGCATGTATTCAAGCACAGATGCAACCTGAGCATTATTTCCAAATATAACTATAGAATAGGGAAATCATTAATCAGATGCAAAATCCAGCCAATCAGTAGGAACATACCTCAGGAACTTCATCATGTGGACAATGACCAGCGGGGCTGATCTCATAGTATGGAGCTTCAGGCACCTGCTTTTTAACCTGAAGGCCCCAGATGGGTTTCACCCAGGGATCTTCTTTTCCATACATTAGACAGATGGGAACACTGTTCATATGACACCTAGAAAGAATACCAAAGTGAAAGGTCCATAACTTGAAGCAGAATGAGAGAAGGCATATGCATGAATCCACAGTAAAACTTAGATTTCTTTTGTACACTCACCTGCATAAAGCATCCCTAAATGATAGTTCTCCTCTAGGGGCAAACATAATTGAAGCAAATGATGCAGCAGCAGCAGGATGTTCTGTGATCTCAAGGATACGAGAAAATACTTTGTCAACATTAGTGGAATGATCTGCATAAACTTGCCTAAGTACCTGTGCGATGCTTTCAGGATCACTTATTTTCTGCCAACTACAATTAAGAGATGAAAAATAGAAGTTAAGTAACCAATAGCAAAGTTTAAAGAAAGAAAGAGCAGGTTCTCCTTGGAATATCAAATCAATTTGAATACCTAATTCCTTCAAAATTTCTTGACAATTTAATTCACACAAATTGATCCAAACCTTAATAAGACCTTTTCCCATAAGATTTATTCATCTAAGCTCTTCTGGATTAATCTGAGAAATCAAATTGAGTCCAAAAAAGGGCAAAACTCACACAAATTCTGTCAGCTTTCTCACACTTTCTGGCAGAGGAAATGTTCCAGACCATGGAAATATCTTTGCTAGTCTTGGAGATTTTACGGGGTTAGGTAGAAATCCCCAAAAAGGAGTTGCATTAAGTAGTGTAACACCCTTCACCAATTGTGGATGGCATGCTGCAAAGTATAATGCAACAAATCCTCCTAGAGAGTTCCCCACAATATAGACTGGTTCACCTATCACCTATGGCAGAAACACAAATGTTAATGGCACATTATTCATAACAATTTAATGCCTTCTTCTCTGAACCAAAAATATACATTATTGTAAATATAAAATCATAGAGGCAAATGGCTTTTAGTACCTGTTCAACAAAATAATGAACTTGATCTCGCCACAAATCCATAGAATAAACCAGTTCACTGGCCCATGGTTCAGTTTTATCTCCAAATCCCCACACAAGATCCTTCCCTTTTGAGGTGCTCTCCTCAGACTGTGAAGTGGGATCTTCAACAGGCAATGACAAGCCCTGGCCAAGGAAGTCAATTGCCCATACTCTATAATCAAGACCCAAATCCTTCAGTTGCTTCTCATAGTGAAAAGAACCAACACCGAAACCAGGAAGAAACAGAATTGGGGGAGAATTGACATTTTCACAACCCGATTTCTCATAATGCACATTAAACTTGGGTTTCCATTCCCAAGAGCCACTGCTTATAGGAGCCTCACATTCACCATTAGAATCACCTGGCAACCCAGGAATCGAAACCCTGCCCAATGATTCCCCAGTTTCTGACATACTTCCCACATCCTCTTCATTTCCAATTACATATCCATCATAGTTTCCACTGAAGACCTTTGTGTCAACATTTTTCACTGGTTCAAGACCGTTAAAAGGCCTAGAACTTTTCCCATGAGAGTATTTCTTTAAGCAAGGATATCTTTTATCAGAAGATTCAACAGACCCACTTCTACAATGAATCCTAGTACATGAAGTGCTGTTTCTTCTTAAAGATAGAAGCTTCACTTGCTGTCTATTCAAGCTTTTCTTTACTAAATTCCGGTTCAAATGACAACATGGTGGATTATTGTAAGGGATGATTTCCATGCCTAGAAGCTATATTCCTCTGCAAGGATCACCAAAAACAAGAACTTTAGAAAAACACTTAGCTTCCGTTTGGTCACAAAATTAAGCAACTCAAGAAAAGCATACAGAATTCAATCACATAGATTTATATAAAACTCAAAATCTTTACTTTCTTCAATTTCCGAACATTTTACAGGCACCCACAACAGAAAGAACTTAAACCCAGGTATAAATCAAACATAAAACAGGAGTTAAAATTCAATCTAAGCAGCTCTCTAGCTTAAATTCCCAGTAACAAGAAACCCAATAATTAAATCCTATGAACAAATCAAATAATTTATAATAAACAGGATTCAAAAATATAATAAGGGTAATAGAATAGGTATCAAGAAAGGATTTTACCTCAAAGTGTGAGAGAGAAGTGACATCAGACTTGATTATTCCTTTGAAATTTCCAGTCTTGGCCGTGAAATGAGGAGATTCTAGCATAAGCTACAGAGATACTCAAGGAGATAATCGGTTGCTTGAAAGCTTCTTCTACATATAAAATGCCAAGAAAAAGGAAAAGGACCCCTAAATAGCTTACTTTACTTTG